TTCTATATTATGAAGCCAAATTATTCTTCATAATAGGTTATATTATTTTCTCTTGCTTTGAGAGGCATACCAATCCAGATTTCTTGCATTATCTTAATGACAGTTCTCCAAACGAGCCTGTGCTCTGGTTTGATTTGGCTGAAAATATAGAAGCCTTTTCACATGCCTCATTTAATATTCAGTTACCATAGAAATTTGCTGATACTGAAGTACATACCGCTGCAGCTGGAATTCAGGCATTGTTAATGGTTCAGTTCTTAGAAGCCTATTACCAGGGCTTGGGAGTTCAGTGTAATAACTCAACCGAAGTCATAACTCTCAGTCTACTTATGCCAGAACAGTCCCATTTACTTCTTTAATTTGAGGTGTTTGATCTAATTCTTTGTAGGTTATAGGCCAGACCAAACTGTTGGGAACCCTCTCTCTTGCTCACTGTTCTGTCCATTCGTCTCTTCTCAGAATAGGGGCATTGACACAGAAATAGCAGCAACCAGAAGGCAAGCTGCGGGAGCATACAGCATGGTACCACCTGCAGATAGTTATTATGCTGGCACAATACCATTATCTGCATTTAGGACTAATCAGGGTAACCACAAGTGATATTATGAACTTGATTTCTTATTCTGGGTTAAGAGGGAACTCCGGTGACTGTGCCCTAGTGGTTAATATTGCTTCCAACACACTGGGAGAAATTCATTTTTTGGCAGAGAGCACACAAATTCTGGCCTACTCCCAATTCCAGAGCCATGTCGCTGATATAGCTGCACTTGTCACAGCACCGAACCTCAGTAAGTAAGAAACAATAGTCACACCAGAAGTGTTCAGTATTTGTGGGAAGTTCAGAGGATAGCTGTAGGTTCAGAAATTCAAACATAGATTCTTAGTTTCTAAACTTAATTCTAGTGCTACTAGTTATTTTTCGCAAAAAAAGACTAGACATCTACTGACATAAACATCTTTAGAAAGAATTTAAAAAACCTGTGGGAAGACATAGATGTAGCTGTAATGTTTAAAATTCCAAACGTTATTCAATTATGGGAGGTAATTAGGAGTGCCTGGTGATCATTTAGGAACAGTTAGAGTAAAAATTGAGTAAGAACTTCCTTTGTGCTTGTGATGTTTTCTTTTGTAAATTTGATTTGCTGTATTACTAGCCTCTTTATTAATTGGCTGATTTATTATAACACTGAGAATTTTACTAGGCACATCATTATCTGTTATGAAAAATGGATAGCTAATCACTGGGTACTATATGCTTGGTTTGTGTTCTTATTTGGTCCATTGTTAATGTTTTCCTGTTAGTTGAATACTATTATAGTAGAAAACACGACCCTACTTTGTGCTTAGAAGACACAGTCTGTAACATTTACAGTTTGCTTCCTTTTCTTGATTCTACACTACTAGAAAGAATGAGGACTACTATAGAAGCTGCTTTATAAAGGAATATATTTTCTTCTATATTATGAAGCCAAATTATTCTTCATAATAGGTTATATTATTTTCTCTTGCTTTGAGAGGCATACCAATCCAGATTTCTTGCATTATCTTAATGACAGTTCTCCAAACGAGCCTGTGCTCTGGTTTGATTTGGCTCAAAATATAGAAGCCTTTTCACATGCCTCATTTAATATTCAGTTACCATAGAAATTTGCTGATACTGAAGTACATACCGCTGCAGCTGGAATTCAGGCATTGTTAATGGTTCAGTTCTTAGAAGCCTATTACCAGGGCTTGGGAGTTCAGTGTAATAACTCAACCGAAGTCATAACTCTCAGTCTACTTATGCCAGAACAGTCCCATTTACTACTTTAATTTGAGGTGTTTGATCTAATTCTTTGTAGGTTATAGGCCAGACCAAACTGTTGGGAACCCTCTCTCTTGCTCACTGTTCTGTCCATTCCTCTCTCCTCAGAGTAGGGACATTGACACAGAAATAGCGGCAACCAGAAGGCAAGCTGCGG